GCCAATGCGCGCTCCGGAGCGCGCACGGCGATAGCAAAAAATATAAGGGATTATATAGGGGACTACTATAAGGGTTAGTAAGGGGGATACTAGGAGTTTAGACTATAGCTCATATGGATCATGCCTGAGACTTCTAGATGTTCCAAACCCTAAACCCTAAACCCAAAAGGGAAGGGGCGTTCAAACAACCACTAAACTGTATGTAAGGCAGGGTTCCACTATTGCTTCTTGGGGAGTATCCATGCAAAAGCATCCTAAGGGTTTTGGTTTAGGGTTTAGGGTTTAGGGTTTAGGGATTTAGGGTTTAGGGTTTAGGGTTGGCTGTCCATCTGGGTAGACTACAAATGGGGGTTTCCCAACATTAGGGGTACCTTTTTGCGCTTATAGCGGAGAATCAAGTGGAAAAGAGTGTGGAACATGAAATGGAAACTGGTCTATATAGGTGTTAGAACGGATCAAGGTTTCAAAAAATTAGGAGTACCATGTTACGGTCCCTGTAGTATTTTGGGGTCTATGTGGGGTCCCCCCCATTTAGGGACACTAAAGCCTAAACTCCCAAATCCCTAAACCCTAAATCCCTAAACCCTAAATCCCTAAACGCTAAATCCCTAAACCCTAAATCCCTAAATCCTTGAAATCCCTAAATCCCTAAATCCCTCAACCCTAGGGGTGGAAGGGATCCCTGCAGGTTGCCCGCTCTCTTCCAGCTTGCCGATGAGTTTCGCCAGAAGGTGGGGGCTGAGCTTATAACACTATAATGGGGTATAAAACTATAGGGTTATATAGGAATAATAGGGTATAGGGATAACGGAAAAGAAAATGGAAACTACTATAGTATATTGGGTTTATCTAGGGATAATGGAAAAAATGGAAACCACTATAATGGGTTATAAAGGGTTTAAGGTTTATATTGGGTTTATATAGGGACAATGGAAAGGAAAATGGAAACTACTATAACCCCAGTTTCCGTTTCATTTTCCATATGATTCTCCATTATGGGGGTAAAAGGTACCCCTGAGTTTGGGTACTTGAGGTTACGCTGACCCTGAGAGTCAGGATGTTGAAGAAGCATAACAGCCTGGATGGCATGTTGCGTCCATCCTGCCTCCCGATCAGCAGCCAACGTGCAAGTACTTGCAATTGAAAGAGCATAGTAAACCGGTTGCACCGCACCTACTCTTGTGGAGGTGCTTGTGATATGCTTGGGCTGGGGGCACCGGCTGTGCTCTACCAGAACATCTCGATCTCATCTTCTTCATTGGTTTTCTGACTACCCCCCTCTTTGCTACCCCCCTAGGTTCCCCCCTTAGGGGTAATTAGGCCTAATTAAGGTTAATTAAGGGGGAACCTAGGGAGGTAGTATAGAAGGGTAGAAAGGAAGCCCATGACTTCTTTGTGCAAGGCAGTACTTGACCTTGTCTCTCCCGATACATCCGATACATAGTTAGAACTTTGACTACAATCCTGATTGCTGAACTTCTGCATCACGTAGCAGATGCGGGTTACCCAGACCCCCTAAAAGGATCCAAAGCATGGAACACCCCAAGATGAACCCAGTACTACATTGGGGAAACTAGGGGATTCTGAGGGGGCTTCCATTTTTGGGATCCTTTGGGGAGTTTGGGAAGTCAAGGGTTAACGATGCTTGCGCTTGATGAACTGGGGCTGGTCCAGCCCCCCATAAGTTGCAGAGTTCTGTTCTATTGTGGGTATATTGGGATAATGGAAAAGAAAATGGAAACTACTATGATGGGTTATATATATATATATTGGGGTAATATTAGGGTTCTATTGGGGTTATATAGGGATAATGGAGAAGAGAATGGAAACTACACAAAGGGGATATAAGGTTTACATTGGGATATTATCCCCCTATACTGGAGAATCAAATGGAAAAGAAAATAAATGGAAACTGGTGTTTATGGGGATTAGGGTGTCCCAAGATTAGGGGTACCTTTTTACCCCTTCAATGGAGAATCAAATGGAAAAGAACATGGAAAGGGCTTCCCAAAATTAGGGGCACCTTTTACCCCTATAATGCACACACAAATGGAAAAGAACATGGAAAATCAACTGGAGACTGGGGGAATATAGGGGTTTAAGGAACTTTATCTAAGTTGTTTGGACCCTCTCCTCAAATGGTTTACGGCCAAAGTCCTGTTAGGCCCCGCAATGGCAAACATCATTGTAGTTGACGGATTCTATGAGACGCAGTATCTATATGAGCCAGTGTCTAAACTCCTCTAAGGGGGGTTATATAGGGGATTATATAGGGGACTACCGTAGGGGTTATTAAGGGGGATATTAGGAGTTTAAACTATAGCTCATATAGCGCGAGCAGGATCGAGGGGTTCTTTTCGCCTAGCAGGTCACGCAGTTGATGGAGGATTTCCGAGGGATCGCGGCCATCTGGAATAAGGCTGCTGGGCCGTAACCTGTGGGTATTCAAAATCAATAATACTAACAATAACCATAACAACAAGAATAATAGTTGTAACAGTAACCATAAGAATGGTAATAGCAGACAACAATAATAATAGTAGTAACAGTAACCGTAAGAATGGGAATAACAGTGACTCTTAGCTTCCTTTTGATGAGGATGTGGGGACTGTCCTAAGTTACTGTTAATACGGGGTCCCATATTTAGGTTCCTAATATAATACGGGGCCCTATATAAATTTCCACCATTTTGGGAACAGTAATTTAGGGAAATCACCATGTACGTATTCTGGGCACCGTTGCAACTTCTCCATTCATCCATTACAGCGTGCCTTAAAGTCGTCACTACTAACTTGATGGTATCTAGTTGTTTCTTAACATGACCCCTAGATGATCCCTAGCGCGGACCTCCATAATCTCGTGGCAATCCCCATGGTTCCTGAAAGGTTTTCAAGGGAACCTTTATTTCGACAAGCCCTCATCAAAGGAATCAAAGGGATGTGATGATTCACGGCTATAGCAAAGTGGTCCCTGGCTTTCCGGTGCTCCTTGCATCAGAAGCCTCCCCATCAAACGCTCACTCACTGACTCGCCTACTCACTCACTTTTCACTTGTCTCCCTTGCTGCAGAACAAGAGGAAGTCATTTTTTTGATTTGAGCTTGTATGAGGACAATAGTCTTCAACTTGATAGATGATCTACCTGCATTTGATTTGTCCGTCAAGTCTCATGCGTCAAGCACCCAGAGCCTGCGCTTCGACCTTAAGCCCTGAACCTCAACCTCAGCTTGCTTGGTAGAGAATGAGGCCATCGAGAAGCAATCTGGTGCTCCGCGTGACTCTGCTGGTGCAATGCAAGCCCTGGAGGATTTCGACCCTTGGAACATTTAGGGGTTTCCTAAGGGGGTACCCTTTTGCCCGCATGATAAGGATTACGGTATTTTGGGGTCTATATTGGGCCGACTACCATTGACATGAAGTTGAACAACCCCAAAGCTGCCAGAATTTGAAGCAGGCACTAGCGGGGTTATGAACAACCTAGGTATTGTTTGTCTTATATTCCTTGCATCAGACTTTATTAGTCAACCATTACTACGTACCATCTCTGTTCTTATAGGAATGCATAGAGGATTTCGTGCATTGTGGCGGTGATTTCTTGTTGGCATCTTGACGATGTTGTCTCGAAGCATGGTTGTGGGTATGTCTGCATATGGTGACCTCCATCTGTGACAGGCAGGACTCAATGAACATCCTTCATGACCTGCTCCAGTACCTTTGCAAAATCGCAGCAGAAGGCTCCCTACACGATCGTGAAAAACACTCGAAGCCTAGACAAAAATGCTCAAGAGATCCAATGGCAAAATCCCGTGCTAAAGCCCAGTGCTGCGAGTTTCTGGCAGAACCCCTTACATGTACTGCTTAAGGGGAAGCCCTATACTCCTTGGGTAGCCCCCACATAATACTCCTGAGGTCAGAAATCCCCGAAACCCTAAACCCCCTAAACCCTGACCCCCCTAAACCCTAAACCCTAAACCCATGTGGGTGGCTTAAGACGGCTTAGGCCGATGAGGCACCAGGGGGATGCCCTCTTCAGGCCACGGGACTTGGAAGTTACCAAGAATATCCAACTCCAAGTAAGCTAAAGTCTAAACTCCTTAAAGGGGATTCCATAGAAAACTTTACAGGGGATTATACGGGTGTGTGTATAGTCTACACACGCCTTGTAGGGGGGAATAGGGGCTTAGGATGATATAAGGCATGATAAATTCAGACTCCGAGATGTATGGAAGCATGGGGTTTAGGAGTTTAGGGTTAGGTTTTAGGTTTAGGGTAGTTTAGCGTGTAGGGATACATGGGGTCCTTCCTGGTAGGATGGGAACTCTGTGGATTTGAGGCGTCAAGGGTGCAACTCCCAAGCGCTACCCTCGCTCACACAAGACTATTTGAAGTAACCTTAAACCCTGAGCCCTATAAACCCTAGAGGTCTGAAACCCAACCTCAATCCTAGACCCTGAACCCTAAATATAAGCCGTAAACCCTATAGATCCTAGGCCCTTACACTCTGAAACCAAAAAAAGAACCTAAACCCCTAAAACCTCATTGTGAGACATGGCCAGGTTATCCGCGTTTGCGAGGGGCCTTTCGAGATGGGTCCATTTGTGCTGGGCCGCGCTCTGTGCGTTGCACTGAATGCGGTGCCAGAGGTGGGTTGCCTGTAAGGTTGAAGGAGTAAGAGTAACATGAAGAGAAATAGCAATAGTATTGGTAATAATAACAGTACTAGTTATATATTTAGTAATAGAGTCAGGGTTGGGAAGTGGGGTAAATGCTTTTGGGGGTTGGCTTTGAGGTTGAGGGGTTGAAGCTTTTGGGGGTTCAGGGTCCTCGCAGTCTCCTTGGCCTTACGTTGTCAATCCAGAGATAACCCTAATATAGCCCTAATATAACCCGAAAATAATCCCCAAATAACCCCAAATATACTCCCAGTATAGCCCCAAATATATAACCCCCATATGACCCTAATGTAGCCTTACGTAGGACGCAGCTTTTACAAAGCCTTTGGACACGGTTCAGGTGGATCGCTTGCTTGGTGGTCAGCTGGTCGCAAGGCAACTCGATTGGGCTAGTGGACTGGCTTCGCTTTATAGTCCCCCTTAACAACTAGATAGAATGTGGGGTATATGGGGATTTTATTCTAATGTACCCAAAGCCATATTCTATCTACATCTATCAACTTAAGGGGGACCGTATGGATGCCAACCGTCATTCATTCCAATGGTTCTGGAAGCCTGAATGATTACCAATACCATAGGTTGTAATCCCTATAGCACCGCGGTAAGACAGTATGCCCCGAGACCCGATTATGTTTGTTTTAGGTCCAGACAATACTGCAATGACGTTGCTGCACATCATAAAGGGCATCGCCACTACTTCAAGCGCTACGCGTCGGCCACGGCTGGCGCATGAAGCACGCAGTTGAGTGCAAGACCTGTTCTTGGACGAAGCACGCCAAACGGAAAGCAAGTAATGTAGGGGCCCAAATAAAAATGAGACAGGGAATTGGGGGTATGCTATCCAGAGGTACTGATTTAGGGGTCATGCAGCAAGTTTGAAAGGCTTGCAGGGGAATGATATTTGTAACTATTCAAGCTTCACCCTAAACCCTAATCCCCAAGCCCTAAACCCTTTCTAAACAAAAGGCCCTAAACTCTGAACCCTAAACCCTAAGCGCTAAACCCTCAACCCTAAACCCTAAACCCTATATAGCTGAGCCGAGACTTGGATCTTGCAGCACCCCCTAAGCTAAGCAGTGATTGTCTCCAATGACTGGCGCAAATATTTCGGTTTTGGAGGGTTGGGGCTTAGGGATTTTAGGGTTTTTAGAGTTTAGGGTTTTTGGGGTTTAGGGTTTTTAGGGTTTAGGGGTTTCAAGGGTTAATATGTGGGTTATATAGGGGTTGTATAGGGGTTTTAGGGTTTAAGGGTTTCCCAAAATTAGGGCTCCCTTTAAAGGGAATATGGGTTATAGGGTTTAGGGTTTCGGGAGTAGGGCATGGGGTTTGCACTTAACCCCTATAATGGAGAATCAAATGGAAAAGGAGCTGGAAAATGAAATGGAAACAGTGGTTCATAGGGATTAGGGTTTCCCAAAGTGAGTGGTACCTTTTTGGGGTCCCCTTATTGTGGGAAACTCCTAAATCTCTGCGCGCCAGAGGTGTGCAATTGTGATTCACCGGAGGCTTAGCTTGGGCGAATATAGGGACGAGGGAGAAGAAAATGGAACCTGCTATTTAGGGTGTAGGGTTTAGGGTTTAGGGGATCCAGAGCAGTCTTGTGACGACATGTTCTCCCTGACGAGGTATCATGCTATCATCTGCTGCATTTAACAGCATGCGTGTGGGAGCCTCCAGGAATGACAGGAGACCCAAACGAGATCCCTGCATGGACGGATTTTTTGCATGTGTTTTTGGGAAGCACTCATGTCAGATGCAAATTGAATCTAAGGAAAGCATTGAAGCACGTGTGGGATTGCGTTGCCCGTGCGCGGCGTGAGCATCACTGGGGCACATTTCACAAGATGTGCCCTTTCCTCTATGTCGGGGGCCTAGAGTCCGCGAGCATGAATTATGTTAAACCGATTCACGTATTCAAACAGGGACTGGTATCGTGCAGAATCAGGACTTGGAGTCAGAGGCTTTCTGATGAGGTGGAAGATTAGAACTGGGCATGGCAGGAGGGTGCGTGATTTTACCAAGCGCATTCGACTGGGGAAAACTCAGGCGGATGTGCTTGAATAATGGCGGGCTGAGAGCAGCATAGACGTAAAAGATTCCAACCCTCTCAAGCCCCCAAACCCTCAACATATCCGGTCATGAATGTCTAGCAGTATGCCTGCCCGTAGGAAGCCTGGAATTTTGCATCCCCAGGTGCGCGAGTCCAGCAGCCTGGTTCTCTGCGATGCGGAAGAGTGTGGGCCAGAGTTCTCAGATGCCCCTACCTCAGAATCAATATACTATAGTAGTTTCCATTTTCTTTTCCATTATCCCTATATAACCCTAATATACTATAGTAGTTTCTATTTTCTTTTCCATTATCCCTATATAATCAGAGATGGTCTGGAGCACTTGAAACTTAGGGACCCCATGACGGTATGTTGCGTTTCTCGTTTGTTTAGGCTTGTTTGGGTGTGTACGCATCCTGTACAAGTACCAGGTACGAATGCAAGTGTGGAGTTTCAAGAGCCACCCCTGCACTGTTGACCAAAGCCCAGTAGTTTCAAGAACATGTAAAGATAGAACAAGGCCCCAAGGTTTGAGGACTGCATTTATCTGCATTGGAATTGCGCTTCTATTGTAGTTGTTTTCGGTCGTCTAAGGTGTTCATGGTCTTGATCGTGCTTTTCATGTTGCTCTCGTTCCACATGCACAAATTTGATTAGTAGCGATGATGGATTGCCGCCTTTCAGGCCTAGTACCCTTGGTGGTACCCCATACTGCAGGGCTATCTTAGATGTTTTAATCGCAGCGTTTTCAGGTCGCAGCGATTCGCCCGAATCGTGCGATTTCAAGGGATGTGTCAAAAGGGTATGATAGGGTCATCTTATACCGCTTATACCAAATAGGGTGCCTCGCAAGAGCTCCCTGAGCCTGATTCTCAGACAAGTGAAGGGTTCCTAAGCGCCCAACTGGGCTAAATGATTTGTCCCAGGCCTGCAAAATTTCATTTCAAGGAAGCGAGGGCTTCCTAGAGGTTCCCTAGACCTGAATTTCCAGACATGCGAGGACCTCCTAAGGCTTACTAAGAGATGGCCCGTTAAAGACTCCATGAACCTGAATTTTCTGATAAGAGAGGGCCTCCTAGCGGCTAGTGCTCGGATTCCACATGCACAAACTTGACTAGTTTTTTCATACCCCATCATGCAGGGCTAGATCTAGATACCCGCAAAGCTTGGGTAAAGCCTGTCAGCCCTTGATGGTGACCTCTCCCAGCAAATCCCAAACGCAAAGCACGCAGCTGAAGTTCCACAGCATCGGCCCCCTGTGCAGAGCCTTTTTCCGCTGAACCCGACCCTAAACCTGCAGGCACACTGGCAGCGACAGTTCGTCTCCGCGACCGCAGAGTTTCTACAGATTCCGTCTGCGGAAAAATGCATAGCCATGCTTCCCAGGGTGTAAGGTTTAGGTGATCTAAAGAAAAGATCCCAAACTGACGGCAGGACCATGGGTCTAGCATGCTCTTAGCTTAGACTCTCGCCTGGGTGTGGAGCTGTTGCGCATGCTTGGGATTCTGGTGTGCGGTCTACAAGAATTGCTCAAGATTCTGAGCCCGACCTTCTGGGTCCTCACATCATGGGGTCCTCACATCATGCGGTGTCAGTGGGGCAAATTACGGGCCTTTGATTCTGCGAAATATCGATGGGATCCCAATACAATCCCCACATAATCCGTGTACAAACTCGATGTAGCCGTGAATGCTCGCTTAATGCATCCGTCATCCGCAGGTAGTCAGAGTATACTCCTCCTACTCCGCTGCTTATTTTTGCTGTCTCCTGCCGTGTAGACCTGGCTTGGGGCACTCTGGTCCAAGCAATCCCTGCTAAACCGTTGATGCTGGATTTATGTGCAGTGTACCCGGCAAACCATGGGACACGCTGCCCGATCCTTTAGAGATCCCTGCGGCACACTTGACCGTTCTTGTGCACTTCTACGTTTGTGCCGCAGCATCGTTCCTCCTCTCCCTGATGTTGATGTTTTGCCTGCGAACGCGGCCTCACCACTGGATGGTTGACGAGGACGAGGACGGGAATGACAATGGGGCGTACTTCTCTGAGACGCTTCATTTCCGATTCTTTTACCTCTCGACCGTCGGATATGGCGTCGCTGCAGCAGCCACGCAGGTTTACCCAGGTGATAGAAACTGGGCCATGGTAACGGGCAAGGTGTTCATCATCCTTGCTTGGACCTGCCTGCTTGCAGTTAGCTGCGGGGCGGCGCATGCCCTGTGTCCAGAGAAGATGTTGACAGCGCCATTGTGGCTCTGCGCAGCAGTTGTGGTTCTTGCAAGCTTGGTTGAACTTGTGGTCCCAGGAGACAGGCATTTCCAAGGATTCATGTATTGCCTTGCAGCAGCAGCCTTGATCTGTGCCATTGCGTGGGTGGTGGTGCATAATCATTACAAACCTAAGCGCGGTTATCGTGAGCCTCCGAACTGCTTCGCCGTTTTTCGGTTTTGTTGGTTTGTCCTTGCCGCGGTGAGCTTCATCATTGTGGCAATCATGGAGCCAGGTTGCGGTTACGGTGGATACCAGACGTGCTATGCGAACTGCGGGGGCCCAGGCATGCACTTTTGGATCTCCCTGATACCACTCATGTTCTTCTACATCGCTCTGGTGTGGATGCAGGGCTTCAATCCCTTCCCGATGGAGTTGCCACCTCTCCCCTGCTGCCAAGCCTCCCAGACTGAGGAAGAGGAGCCTGAAAAAAGCACAGAACCCGCCGCATCGCAAGTGCCGCCCTCGATTCCAGATGAGGAGTCACATCCTGCATGACCCGACTACCCTAAACTTGAGGTCTTACAGCGCCTTTTGTAGTTTGGGCCACGCAGGTTCTTTATGTCATTAGCTGTATTTAAGGGCTCGACTGCACTGTGTTTCTCACTGCTGCCTTGTTTGGCTGCCGATGTAGCTATCCTGCATGACAGATCTTTTTCTACGCTACAGTATGTATGAATAAGTGACTTTCTGAATGCAGGAGTAACAAAGCAGTTTGCACGCCTGGGTAGGAGCCTTTCTAAGGCTTGCTGCTCAACTCTTGACGAGCGGTGCCACCCAAAACGGGTCAATGGGCACTCAGCGGCTTGGCGCGTTGCCGTTCGGCACAGGTCGTTTTGCAACAGTCCTTTGTGACCGCCGCAACTGAACAAAGCACGCTGTCTAATACTGACATGCGAAAAAGGACGCTGCCGCGCCTGCATTTTGCGCCGGTGACCTGAATCCGCTGCTTTCCTACATAGCGACATAGCCATTTCCCAAGCCGAGCTTTCAGCTTCTAGTTTCCTGGTGTACCGACTTGACATGAGGCCAAAATTCCATCTATGAGACTGACATTGATGGAATTGGCAGCAGTCAGGAGTCCACACATTCTCGCAAGTTCTCCTTGGTTCTTTCCACGCATTGATTGATGAAGTTATAGCGTCATTAAGTGCAAATTCATCCCAGCCCATCAGCAAAGTGATTGGTGGCCGGACCATCACCCAGGGCTGCTGGGAAGCAAACAGCGGAAGGACCGTTGTTTTCGTTGGGGTTCTCGGGTTGGCATAGGGGTATTTCGGGGATATAGGGGTTCATATAGGGGCATTACTCCAGGGGATATGTAGGGTGTAAGGGATGTGTGGGCAGAAAGTTGCTTCTTGAGGGCGCAACCTGAAATTCTGCACATGGGTTCTGCGGAGCAGCTTGAAAGGGGTGGTGGTCATGCTTCCGAACAGGGAGTGTTACAGTCCATCCGAAGATACCCTTGCTTCTCATTGGTCGCAAGGTTTTTACACTGTCCGTGGCTACTTGAAAAGCCGACGAAGGCGAGAAATTATTTCCTAAGTATGGGGACTTCCAAACAGAGTTTCGTGGCAAGACGCTTGACAAGGGGTCTTTATCTGCTAAGGGTTGTTGCTCATGCTACATTTTACGTCATCGCCTGCAGCTGTGATGCCTGGAAACTTCATGTCCGCAAATCTACTTTTTTCTGGACAAGAAAATGGAATCTACTATTTGGGGTTTAAGGTCGACGGTTTAGGAGTGTGGTCCTTATGATAAGGACAAGTTGGGTTGTAGGTTCACTCCTTTTGTGAGAAATGGCCATGTAGCATATTTCAGGTAGGGCAGCCATCCGCACACTAACAGTTCCCCACGAAGGTAGCAGTCGATACAGGGCTTAGTACATGTCGGCGCAAACCCTAAACCCAACAACTCCAATCGGATGACTATAGGGGGTTATTGAGAGGGATACTAGAAGTTTTGACTATAGCTCACATGGAAGCTTAAACGCTGAGGTTGGAATCATGTTCTTCTGCTGTACCTGCGCGGATGAGCCAGCCTGGCATGGGGAAAGGGTTTCAAAGCTTCGGGACTACTCATGGTCTTCGGTCCTGCTCCGTGTCTCTTCGCGACTTTGCACGTTTAGCATTGAAGTCACGTAACTGACTGACAGACAGCTGAAAATTGTACAGTGGGAAGGAGTAATAAATACTGGTCCCTAGATCTAGTCCAAGGAAGCCTTAAGAATTATAGCACCCAAAATCAAAATTAGACGCTCCCACTGTCATGCTACTGCTGCATCCTATTTGGACACAAGTTAGGAGCCGTGGAGTGTTTCAAGATATGTTCATTGTTGCACGCCGGGGCGTGCCAGCTGCAATTAACCCCCAAGCGGGAATGCCACAGCACCCTAGGATTTGCATATCATCGCTACATGCAACGCCCTCCCTTCGATTATTCTCGGCTCAGTTTCCTCGTGCATGCTTACATCGCCCATATAGACGCACGTATAGTTTTTGGATGGGAAGCGTGTGATACACAGCCAGGCAAACCAAGGCATGCTTCGGCAATGACAATGCCGCCAGGGACTTTGCTCATTTTGCGGCTGCAGCTGTGGGTCTTCGGTTTTAGGGTTTTCGGGTCCCCATAAAAGGACTTACAGTTTTCGCGGAGTCTTTACGTAAGGCGGCCGCTCATTTTTGGAAGCTACCATTTGTTCAGTTACTTGTAGCATTGCTTGACATAAGAAGTTGGTAGCGCGGTAGGAACGTGGTAGCAGCGGTCGGACGAGTTGCGGGCTGAGGATGGTAGCATCACCATTATTCTGGGTATCACTACCAACATCTTGCCAGCAGCGTACTGTAATTTTAGAACTAGCTGCAGCGACGCAGTGGTTTCTATATCACCCCAATAATATATAACCCCAATATACTATAGTAGTTTCCATTTTCTCTTCCATTATCCCTCTACAACCCCAATATATTCCCTATAATCCCTATATATGCCCTATATAATCCCTATAATCCCTATAGTTTCCATTTTCTTGTCCATTATCCCTATACAACCCCAATATAACCGCTAGAGTCAGAATTTCGGCGGCTTTGGTCCGGTGAGCCAGTTGAGGTTTTGTTGAGCTAAGCTGGAGCTCCAGAAACCCTCAAAATTCAGGTTCAGGGGGTTATATAAGGGTATTTAGGGGGAAATAGGGGTTAGGGGTTACAAAGGGGTATATAGGATTTAGGGTTAGACTCTGCGCTTCGGATTTGAGAGTTTACCCAGCTCCGCTGCTGCGCGTGGTCCCTCACCAGTTTCAGTTTGGGGGCCCAGTGACCTTGGCGTGACAGCCAGCCTATGAAGAGCGTAACAGACATGGACCATTCTCAATAGCAGTAGCTGGTTATGCGAGTTGTATCAACCACTGGAAAAGTGTCGCGATAATTCGCACGACCACTGCTGCATTCTTGCAAGGACGTCGTTGATGCGGGGCAGAAGGCCACTAGGGTCCGGCGGCATTCCAGACATCCACATGTGGGAGTTTCTTAACTTCAGGAACTACTGTGTTCCCCACACATCCCTCTGTGGTGGGATGCCGTCCTAGAAGGAGTTGAACATGTGTTGTAAAGATGATGATGCCTCTAAGGGTCTGACTGAACAATCATCAATCATCAGCTGAGCGTGAGCCGCGGAAAATTTAATACCCCTCTGGAGCAAGCCCTCTGCCCTAAGCAGCACTCCTGCTACAGCGCCATGAACCGGTACAGCAAGCTACGGGGCCTACACACCTGCGCGAAGCATAAGCAGCTGCATGAGCCACTTTTTGTGTGACATTTCTGGCAGGGCGACAAAGACAAGACAGTGGGGCCTGCTCGGCGGGTATTGGTAATAATAGTGATAAGAACAGTAGTTGTACTGGTAATATTTAAACGAATATAGCAGTAATTAATAATTGTATTCATGATTATGAGAAGCAGAATGTTAACAATAGTAATCATAATAAACAAATCACTGATCATGATACTGGGAGGTTCCCAAAATAAGGGGTACCTTTCTGGGGTCCCAATAAAAAGGACTACAATATATTAGGGTCTATATGGGCCTTGCTTTGGGAAACTACCAGTAGAAAAACAGTATGGCTGCAGACAGCAACTTTGCCGGCTATATATTGGACAAGATGGAGAATGAAATATTTAGGGTTTAGGGTTTAGGGTTTAGGGTTTAGGGGTCTAGGTTGTATTTGGGGTCTAGGTCAAATGGAAAAGAAAGTGGAGAATGAAATGGAAACTATTTAGGGTTTAGGTAGAACGGCGAAAAGATGGAGAATGACATGGAAACCATTTAGGGCTTAGGTGAAATGGAAGAAAGATGGAGAACGAAATGGAAACTATTTAGGGTTTAGGTCAACTGGAAGAGAGAATGGAGAATGAAATGGAAACTATTTAGGGTCTAGGTCAAATGGAAAACAAAAGTCAGAATGATATGGAACATACTATCAGGGTTGAGGTCAAATGGAAAAGAAAGTGGAGAATGAAATGGAAAGTACTATATAGGGTTGAGGTCAAATGGAAAAGAAGATGGAGAATGACATGAAAACTACTATTTAGGGTTTAGGGTCTGGGGTGTAGGGTTTAGGTCTGAGGGTCTAAGCCCTAAACCCTAAACCCTAAACCTAGGGCTTTGGGCTTAGGGCTGACCATTGCTCGTATCATTGCTGTGTACACTTGGTTGCGATCAGGGAGATTCAGGAAGATTGCTGCCATCATCGGCATCTTCTTTACGTACCCGTCCTCGTACTCACAGTACTAATGCCAACATTGCTCTTTATACGCTACCACCACCTAATTCCTAATTCCTATAAAGCCCTCTTACTACTACTACTACTGCTACTACTACTACTACCACTACTACTACTACTACTACTACTACTACTATTACTACCACTACTACTATTACTACTACTACTACTACTACTACCACTATTACTACTATTACTATTACTATTATTATTATTACTATTACTATTACTATTACTATTACCATTACTATTACCATTACTATTAC